GGTGCAGCTCCCCAGCCCTAGCAATGATGTGTTCGCCTGACTCCTCAGTGATGCACTGTACCATGGGATCCGACTTGGCCAGCCGCTTCAGACCCTCCACCAGCTTGGGCAAGTCGGCAGGGTTCTTGGCCTCCACGGCGATCCTGACCACAGCGCTGACGCTGAACTTCATGACGCACATTTTGTGTGCGTGCTTGAAGGTGGTGATGGTGTCAGTCTTCACCAGAAACTGGTCCACACCCACCAGACCCACAATGTTCCCGCATGGCACGTCCTCAATGGCCTCGACATAGTGGCCCATCCTGAAGATGGTCCTCTGGATCGGGTTCAGACACAGGTCTTCCTTCTTCCCAGGGGTGTAGTTAGGCCCCATGATCCTGACCTTCAGGCCAGTGGACACAAGCCCAGAGAAGACCCATCCAAAAGCATAGAACCGACCTTTGTTGAAGGTTGGCACCATTTTGGAAATGTACATCATCAGGGGACCTTTAGGGTCACAGCTTTGAATACCCATGGAGGCCTCATCGTTGGGGGGCCCCTCGTAGAGCACCTCACAGCAGTACTTCTGGGCTGTCACAGGTGAGAGCAGGTGGATGGTGATCACCTGCAGCAGGGCATCCCCAGCGGGCAGCCAGCAGCGCATCACAGCCTTCAGGAGGGGCTTGCCCTCTTTGTCCTTGTCTTCACTGTCCAGCTTGATGTCCAACTTCTCAGTCAGTTTTGCAGTCTCCTCTTTCCTGAAGTTCATGATTGCATCAAACACCTTGAAGATGGGGTCCAGGATGAGCTGGCAGAATGTCTGGGGCAGCTTCTTGCCATTGGGGTTGGTGGCTGACTTGCTGAACTTGCCATTGGCAGGGTCAAAATAAAGGTCAACCCAGAGCTTTTTCATCATGTCCTTAACTTTCTTGGCCCGTTCAGCAGACCCCAGCTGGTCCTCTCCCTTGGTAGCGAACTTGGCAACATACATTTCAGCAAACTGCTTGAGAGTGAAGGCCCAGCCATGGAGGCCAGACCCAAAGCTGACTGTACCCAGGACAGGATCAATCATGATGTTGCCCGTGGGGCCGCTCTCACCCTCGCAGTAAGTGGAGATGATGATGTTGACGTTCTCCACACGCGCTGGAAGGTTTGGTACAGCTCTTCAGGCTCCAGCTGCAGCTCGAGCAGGGCCCGGTCCATCTTGTTCATCATCAGCACAGGCTTGATGCACTCGGCAATGGCCTGCGGCAGCACTGTCTCAGTCTGCACGCACACTCCAGACACGCAGTCCACCACCACCAAGGCTCCGTCAGTGACCCTGAGGGCAGCCGTCCCCTCAGAGGAGAAGTCTACGTGCCCAAGAGTCGATGAGGTTGATGAGAAAGCCAGAACCATCCTTGCTCTGCTTGAGGAAGTTCAAGTCGTTCTCAGAGAGTTCATAGAAGAGGGAGATGGCGGTGGACTTGACGGTGATGCAGCGCTCCTGCTCATCCTTGCGGGTGTCCATGAAGCGGGTCCACCCAGCCAGCACGGACGTGATGATGCTGGCCTTGCAGACCAGCGAGTCCGTCAGTGTGGACTTGCCGTGGTCCACGTGGGCGATGACGGACATGTTGCAGATATTGGCCTTCTTGTCCATAATGGCCCGGATCTGATCTACCGTGAAGTTCACCATGGTGGCGGATGGCGGCGGATTCTCCCAGGCAGAAACAAGTGAGGCAAGGATGGTGGCGACGATGGCGGAAGAGCTATGTCCTCTTTTCTATTGCATTATGTAATGGCCTTCCTTGTCGTTTATGATGGTTTTTGCATTGAAATTTGTTTTATCAGAGATTAATATTGATACTCCTGCTTTTTTCAAGGTTGCCATTTTCTTGGTATATTTTCCCCCACCTTTTTCTTTTTAGTCTTCCTTTATCTTCATTTTTCAGGTGTGTCTTGTAGACAGCTTATTCACGGATATTGTTTTTTTATTGAATATGCTCTCTTTTTCTCTTCAGTGGTGCATTTAAACCATTCACATTCAGTGTGATTACTGAGAAGCAAGGTTTTATTGCTCTCATTGTGTTCAGTTCTTTTTGGTGCTGTTGCTAGTTACTTTGGTCCATCCTGCTTTCTGTGCACCTCTGTAAGAAGGATGTCTCTCAGTGTTTCCTGAAATGCTGGTCTTGTTTTTACAAACTTCCTTAGGTTCTGTTTTTCTGGAAATATCTTGATCTGTCCTTCATATTTGATAGACAATTTTGCCGGATACAGTATTCTTGGTTAACATTTGTGTTCTTTTGAGTGCTTGATATATGTCATTACAATGGCTTCTTGCTCACATGGTTTCTGCTGAGAAATCAGTACTTAATCTTATCTACTCCCCCTTATAGCTTACTCTTTGTTTCTCCCTTGCTGCTTTCAAAATTCTCTCCTTATCTTTGATTCTGGCAAATTTGACTATGATATGCCTTAGTATTTTTCCTTTGGGGTCTATTCTATATGGTGTTCACTCAGCTTCTTGATTATATATTCTCTCATTCTTCATTATGCCTGGGAAGTTTTCTTCTAGTAATTCTTCCACAACTTTTTTGGTGCCTTTACTTGCTTCTTCCTGTTCTGGAATTCTGATGATGCACATGTTATTTCTCTTGATGGTGTTCCACATTATTCTTAGGTTTTCTTCTTTTTTCCTTCCTTTTTTACTCCTCTTTTTGCTCTAGTAGATCAGTGGTGACAATTCTATCTTCTATTTCACTGGTTCTGTGTTCCAACTCTTCAACTCTGCTCATGTGTCCCTCCATCACGTTGACAGCATCTGAAACATTGGACTTCATATTTTGGATCGTGATTTCTTGTTTCTTCAGAGCCTCTAATGCCTCGTTTGTTTTAGGTACCTTTTTTTTTTTTTTAGCTCCTCCTGGTTTTTGCTTGCCATGTCCTGTAATTCGTCAAATTTGCCTTTCACCCTTGAAAAATATTGTTTTTTTAAATCCCATGCCATAAAGTTCCGTCAGACTTTCTGGCTTCAGGAAATTCATTGATACTGTGGTTTTTCTTTGGGGGGTGGTGATATCTTGCTTTGGCCTTGTGTGGGAAGTGAGGTAGTCTGCTTCTTCCGTGACATTTCTGTGGTAGACTTTTTTGTGCTTTAGGTGATAGCCAGTTCTTAATCTGCTGTCACTGCTCCAGAAGAAGGCTGGGCAGGCACGCACATGCGTGGATGCACATAGACTGGGAGCACGCAGTTTCATGTAGGGTGGGTGCACAAACGGTTTCACGTAGGATGGGTACATGCATGAATGCATGTGGGGGCTAGGAGAGGGGACACGCACTCAGACCCACATGGGACGGGGGTCGGGGGATGTGTGTGTGTGCAGGGGAGACCTGAATGGAAAACCAGGAAGCCTATGTTTTCCCCTTAAGAACTGGATCTGCCACCCTTGTTGAGCTCCAGATGTCTCACTCCCTCCTGCTTAAGGTGCAGGGGTCCCACAATTGGTCGAGCAGTCAGCAGTAATCCCCTCCTAAGTACCTCACTCAAATTCCTGCTGGTCTACTTGCTCCTGGTGGGTGGGTCCTGCCACAACTCGTTGCTCCCAGCCAAGGCTCCAAACTAATTATTTTAATAATATTTCTCACTCAATTCCATCTGTCTTGCACTTGGCAAGCTTGGTACTCAGCTTGCTTGGCGTTTGGGGATAACTTCTAAAGTTGTTATTGTTGTGTGCCATCAATTTGACACTCATAATGACCCTGTAAACAACAGACGTGACTCTGCCCTATCCTGCACCATCCTCACCATCTCTGATATGCTTGAGCCCTCTGTTGCAGTCACTGTGAATTCATTGTGTTGAGAGTCTTCCTCCTTTTCTCTGACCTTCCACCTTTCCCAGCTGGGTGCTTCATTTGAATTACTTGGAGTTTCCCAGGGTATGCATTGACACAGGACATGCAGAATGTATTTCAAAATGTAATTTAGAAAGGAAAAATAAAAATAATTTGAAAGATAGTTTTATCTTTAAAGTTTCCCATTATTATTCACAGATGCCCTTGCCCTGGCACCTCCAAGAGCTATACTCTGTCTGGAAAGTCTGATACATTTCCTTGACTCCAGTGGAGAATGAGATGTGGGCTAAAATTCATAAAGGCATCTAAGTATGAAGAAGAAATCCTCTGAGTCACTTGGCAAAGTGGGCTGGGCTGTTTTTTTGGTTAATCAATGGTTCATGAAGTCTATAGTACATATAATTTTGAAGTTCTCATTAAAAAATGCAAATTTATAAACACAAAATGTCTGTGGCCACTTGAATACCATCTCACAATGAGGAATGTGTAACAAAGGTGAAGTCAGAGTGAAAAGAGACAGCTAGCTCAAGTGATTGTGGTGAAAGTATGTTACTCTTGCTAATTTTATAAAACATGTGGCTACAGGCCAGGGCTCCCTCCTAGGTCCGTGGAAAAGGCCAATAAGAATAAACCACCAAACTCTCTGATGTAGACAGTGAGCTGACAGAACAGAGGGTTACCCCTGGGGGGTTTCAGGGCTATAAATCTTAACAAAAGCAGACCATTGCATCTTCTCTTGAGGATCTGAAATGTAAGCTTCCTTACTGTTCATTTTATCCAGAGGATTCCCACTCATGATTATACATGTGTTAAGTAATGGATAAGATTTCATGGAGAGTAGAACTGCTACAGGGAGTTTCTTAGCTTAACAGAAACAAACTTCTAGGTCTTTCCTTCTGCTGTATGCTGGGTAGGTTTGAACCACTAACTTATAGGTTATAAACACTATTCCTTGGCTCCACTCAAACCTACCTGTGGACAAGTGGCTTGAATTGCCTGTCCTCAAGTATAGAAGGTTATCTTCAATGGATGCAATATGAAAGATATGTCACAGATTATCTGAAAATTGTGTCCTAGTGGGGCATTTTACCAAGTACATTTGACACTTAAAGTATATTTCAAGTCAAATAAAACATTTCTAAAATGCAGCATTAAGTATCTCTGGCATTTTTCTTATAATTTCTTACCATTTCTGAATTATCTAAAGTTACAGGATCAGGATTATTCTGGGGAGACAAAAAGTGAGACGTTAATTTACAATTGGCTTTCTCCATGTTTATCTTTCTATCTTTTACTCTTCTGGAATGTTCTCTTTTCCCTCAATTCCCTTATGAGAAAGAGAGGACCCCTAATATTTTGTTATTCATCTGGCCTGTAGGACTTTAATTCATGAGCTCAAAATGTTGGGGGGGGGATAAGAAATCATTAAATGATAAATTAATGAAGTGGGGAGAACATTACAAAATCAGATTGGCAAAATTTATCAGTGTTAACTATTTAAGTCACTGTAAATGTGATTTATACCAAAAGAATTCTAAATCAGTGATAGTTGGATACACCTCAGTGTATGAAAACTGAGTAAATTAAGATGCAAAACTACTGTCAATTCAAGGTGTTTTTACCACTTGAATAATAAATCAATCTATTAAAAAAGAAATGTTTATTGGGCAATAAATATATACTATGGAGTCTGATGTTAGAAAAAGCAGAAGGCATAGTCTTAAGACTAGAGCAACAAGTTAAAAATAAGGATGCTCATGTACAAGGATGCTCTCGTGATTTAGTGGTAAGGAGTTAAGCTGCCAACTCAAATATATATAGTTCAAATCTACTAGTTGCTCTGAGGGAAAAAGATCAGCCATCTACTCCCGTGTGTTTCACTGAAATCCACAGAGAGGTCAGGTATTAGTCAGGTCTGACGTAATGGTACACAACAGCAGCATGAACCAAAAAAAGAAGCAAAAATCAAGGAACTAGGAATATAAGAAACTTTTGAAAAAGGGTCACAAAAATGAAATTCTATAAGAGTTTCCAGGAGGAAGACCCCTGGACTGGGAAAGCTCCCCAGATGTTAAAACTGCACTCCACCTGAGAGAGCAGGCTTTATTCAAAGAAATTAAATGAGCTCACTGCCAATTCAATCTCAGACTCCTAAAGTCAAAAGTCACAAATCATTTAGAGTGTGTTTTAGGGAGCTCTGGTGGCCTAGAGCTAAGCAGCTGAACTGCAATCCAAAAGGTCCTGGTTTCAATCCACCAGCAGCTATGCTGGAGAAGGATGGACAATCTCTTCCCATTTTATTTACTGCCTCTGAAAACCGGCTATAAGTTGGCTTCAATCTTGAGAGCACACAATAACCACAGAGTGTGTTTCAAAGGATATTGAAATAGGTGGGGATGGTTAAAAAAAGGTGGGGGGGGGAGAAAAAGGGTACACTGATTTGATCAAAGTACTGACTAAGGAATTGTATCTTAAAGACATCATACAAAGCTCAGATGTCAATTAAACAGAAATGGTAGTGTTTCTACCTTCAAAGAATAAAACCAAAATTGCTGAGGCTGGGCTAGGTAGAGGCACAACTCCCAGACACTGCAGATACCACCAATGAAGACACGTCTGCATTTGAATATCTTGTCTGAATCACGGCAATCTGACTTGGGAGGTATGAGCCAGTGTTGCTGTAGTTCTTCTCTGTTAGGGTCTTCAAAAGACCTCATTCAACTTCAAATTCCAAGATTAATGTGAGTTAACAAGAGAGAGAAAGATAAATCACTTGAAAACAGGGGTTTCCTACCATTTGTAGCACTCTGGATTTTTTCTTTGGACTTATGGTGTTGGGGGGCTGCTCCATATCCTTAAGCCAAGACTCCTTGGGCAATTTATACACATCCAGCCAAATATCTCCAGCGCCTGCATTGGGAAACCAAGGGATTATTGAGCAACTGAGATCAGGCAGCAAGTCTCCTCTGAGATGTGGCCCGTCTTCTCAGAAACGCTGGCACAGGGAGCCGCCACCCCTGCAACCTTGACAAACTGAAAGGGACGTCTTTTTGCAATCATTATTGCAAATCTCTGCTCCCTAAATAGCTTTCCCATGGAGAGTTGGAGAGCTCCTCTCCTCAAGCCAGCTCCATCCCAGGGAAACGAGACGTGCTTCCCACACTCACAGCAATGATGCAACACAGTTGTTGCCCAAACTGCTGCTCTGCCCAGTTTTCTAGGTTCCAAGTCACAGATTTCACCATTTTTGTCTTTACATTTATGCCTGTCTGGGGAGGAAGGTGGCACACACAGACTCAGTCCTGAGAAGGCTGGCAGCTAAGAAAGGACTGGAATTGGGAAAGAGGCCCCGAGAGTGCTCTCCTGACCTTTATTTGAGGGATGACAATCTGGGGAGACTTTACTCTACCTCCGGAACATGATTCTCTTCTAACCCAGATATCCTGCCAACCTAGGAGAGGGTTGCTCTCCCACTGAGTAGTCTTCTGCCTAAAGGTTTCCTTTAAGAATCATCTGGGAGAGATGGCAAATCTGAACAGCCTTAGGCTAGTCTTGCCTTGTAGGAGGAAGGCGGCAAAGTCCCCTTCATGGGAGATCTCCATCTTTACACAGGTGGTTTGCTTGCTAGCATCGTCCTGGAAAAGAGATAGTGATAGAGCAAACTCAATCTGTGACAGAGAAGAATATGTGTGAGGGCCTTCTGTGCTTCACACCAAACCCATTGCCACTGAGCAGATTCTGCCTTCTTGGGACCCTCCACAGGGCTTCCGAGGCTCTAACCCTTTATGGGAGGAGACTCCTGTTTGTCTCCAAAGAATAGGCTGGTATTTGAACTACTGGCCTTTTGGTTAGCATACGAGCACAAAATGCACTATGTCATCAGAGCTCCTTTTAGTGACTGGGGTGTGAAAAGATGCCTGCAGTGGCTTTACACTGACCAGTTTTAGAGAAGAATTGGAAAAAGAATGATAAGTATAGAAGTCTAACTTGATTTTGTCTTTTATTTCCTAGGGTCATAAATACTCCTCACGGCTCTGGTGATTTCATACTACCTGATCCCCAGGTTGGATCTACCAACTGTGTAGACCTATGCCAGCATCTATTCACAGCTGAATTAAGCTCTACTTGACACTGAAAATTCTGGTGGATTGCTGGATGAAAGGGCAGAGACTGAGTACAACCCTGGTGAGAAACCTGGGGCAAGCTGAGAAAGAATCAATGTGTGTAGCTGTGCTGTGTCTTTAACAAACAGCAAAATAAACTGGTTAGACCGTGGAAATGCAGAACTCTGACAGCTCAGTGGTTAAGCCTGTGGCTGTGGACGGAAAGGTTGCTAGCACAAACCCACGCAGCATTCCTCAGGAGAAAGACGTAGTGATCTGTCAAGAAACGACGCCAACAAACCAAATAGCAGATCTCCACTATCACATGGGGCTCCCACAGCTTCTACTCTGCCCTAGGGCTTCTCTATGAATCAAAATTGAGTCAGTGGCACTGAACAACAATAGATTTATTATATAACTAAGCCCCTTAGTTTACTTAAGGAGAACAGTTACCGTAAAAAATTTTATACATTTTCTTATCAACTTTTGCTATAGAAATTTGTAATTATATACAGATGGAAAAGATAGTATTTATTACTCAACTTCAACAATTACCAACATGACAAATCTCATTTTATTATCTTCTACACTCAACTTAGTGGTAAGAAGTTGAGCTGCCAACCCAAAAGTATGCTGTTTCAGTTCACCAGTTGTTCCATGAGAGAAAGACGGGCAATCTCCTCACATGTGGTTTACAGCCTGAAAATCTGCTAGAGGGTCAGCTATGAGTAGGTTGCAACTTGATGGCACACAACAACAACAATTATTAATATTTTCATTTGGTTAAGGCTAAAAAGCTTAATACTTCCTTAATATAATCTAATAATATTTTCCTTTCAAATTTCTCCTACTGTGTCATACATCTCATAAATATTTTTCACAGTTTATTTGTTCAAATTAGAATCCAAAAGAAGTCCATTTTATTTAGGTAATAGAGCTCTTACCAAGTGCTTTAAGATTCCAACTCATAGCAAATCTAGACACAATAAAACCGCTCCATTTTGTTTCCAAAGCTAAACATTATTCATTGCAGCAATATTCACAAAAAAAGAATGGAAAGTTTCCATCAATGAATGAACAGATAAACAAAAAAATATTACACACACACGCACACACACATACACACACACACACACACACTGTAGAATACTACTCAGCCATATCCTGGAGGATATTATACTGAATGAAATAAATCAATTACAAGGGTACAAATAATGATCTTGCTTTTATGAGATGACAAGAATACATAGAGATCAATATTCACTGGTGACTACCAAAGGTTAGACAGGGTAAGAGTGGGGTAATTACTCCCTAGGTAGTAGTCACTGGTTGTTTATGGTGATGGGAAAGGTGACATTGAATGTGAGTGTCATTTGCACAGTTAACTAATAAAACAGCATGTTTTGGAGGAAGCTCTCTAACCACAGAAGTTTCTACCTTCCGAGTCTAGGACCGTGTTCATCACCTCCAAATGAAAAGTAAATTTGCTACAGCATCTGGTCTAGCTTTACATGAAAGAGGAGAAAACTCACCGATTCGTTGATGGCTTTGATTAGGAAAATAACTTCCTTATAAAAGTAAAACAGTCTAATGATACCTGCAACAGAAAACAAATGAGACTGGAAAATAGGTAAAAGGATCAAACATTCTGTTAGACTTCCTGAAAATGTTAAAAAACTTCATGTCTTGAAATTAAGCTCACCTTTCCTTCCTGGCCTCCCGATTGTCCTTACCGCTCACCTGAAATGTTCAAGATTCTCTCTCTCAGGGGACCTCTACCCGCCCTGGACCTCTCCTCTCTTGTTACAGCCTCCTATACACCCTCTGGCCATGCGTCTGCTCCTGGATGTCACCTGTGTGACATTCTCATCCCAAACTACCTTCCTGTGAGGACTTTTTTACTCTCCCAGTGAGATCTCAGTCTTTGAGGGGAAAAATGTGTCTCACCTAATGTACCTCACTTCTCATCCGTCAAGAGACCTTTCATGGAGGTAATTTTGTTGAACTAATAAGTCATTTTGCAGCCTGATTTCCATTTAGACTAGGGAATCCAGTCTATTAATCACCTCCACCATCACTCCTTTCTTCTTTCTTTAGTACCTCCAGGTTATGATATTGTTGCTGTTGAGTACTGTCAAGTCAGAAGTGAGTCATAGCTGAACCTCCAGCAGATTTTCAGAGGCAGTAAATCACACAGAAAGAGATTGCCCATCTTTCTCCCATGAAGAAGCTGGTGGATTAGAACCTTATGCCTTTGAGTTGGCAGTGAAACGCCTTACCACTAAGCCACCAGTACTTCCTCTAGAATAATAATTCTGCCCTTGTAAAAGGCATCTGATCCACCTCATGTGACAGTCTAACTCAACACAAAGTGCAGCATGGGATTTCTGTTTCCAGTGGTGAATATGTTGGGATACGAAGTGTCTCTGCTTTCATATTTGCCACATTGAGGGTAACACAGATCTGAGGCCAACTAAACACAATGCAGTGAGGTCCTCTCTGCAGATGAAACTCTTCTTGAATGTAAACATATCCATTCAGCTTCCAAATATCTTAGATCTATGCAGACTCAGTTGAGAGCATTCAAAATCAAACTCTTCACTCACAGATCTCTGAAGCCTTCTTCACTAAGAGTTGTTATCATGTAAGGCTGCAACATTTACCTGGTAATCTCCCTGTCACTCATCAAGTTTTCCCACTGTATTTTCTTTTTTAAACTATTAATTTTGAACTGATTTTGGACTTAACGAGCCATGATGAGGCAATGGTTCAGAGCTCAGCAGTGAACTAAATGGTTGGCAGCCTGAAAGCGTCTAGCAGCTCTGTAGGAGACTGTGGTGATCCACTTTTGAAGTGGAGAGCCAAGACAGTTTGTTGTGCAGTTCTTGTCACACAAGGTCACTATGAGTTGGAAGCAATTTGACAGCATCCAACAACAAATTGAGTGTATTTTTTTGTTACTGTTATGCGCTGTCAAGTCACTTGCGGCTCATAGCAACCCTATGTACAAAAGACCTAAACTCCTTGTGCCTATTGTCTCTGACAAACCTACCACCATTACCCCAGTCACTGAGTTAATCCATCTCATCGAGGGTCTTCCCCTCCTGCACTGTCCCTCCATCCTCCCAAGCATGATAGCCCTCTCCAAGGACTGGTTCCTCTTTGCAACATGCCTAAAAGTATGTCAGACAAAGTCTCAGAATCCTCGCCTCCAAGGAGCAGCCTGGTCTCAACCTCTCTAGAACAAACCTATTTGTTCTCCTAGCAGTTAATGGTATACTCGACACTCTTCTTCAGCACCACAGCTCAAAGGCATCAATTCTCTATCATCCCTACTCATTGTCCAGCTTTCTGATGCACATCTTAGTCTCTAGACTGACATTGTTCTTCAGTACTCTGGAGAAGTCCCTGACAAACAGACTTTCCCTATACAATTGTCTTTTGATTTTCCCACAGCTGGAGCCAAGCAAACAAAAGCTGTAAGCAATTTCAATCTCTTCACCATCTAGAATGATGCTGCCAGTTGGCCCAGTGATGAGAATCTTTGTTTTCTTGTTGTTGAGCTTCAATCCATATTGAAGGTTCCAGTCCTTGACCTTCTGCAGCAAATGCTTCAGGTCCTCCTCAGTTTCAGCAAGCAGGGTTGTGTCATCTGCATAACAAAGATTACTGATGAGTCTTCCTTCAATCCTGATGTCACATTCCTTGTCATAGAGCCTAGCCTCCCAGATGGTCTGTTCTGCATATAGTTTGAAAAAGTATGAAGATAGAACATTTCCCTAGCATACAATCTTCCCGATTTTGAACCATGCAATGTTTTCTTGCTCTGTTCTGATGACTGCCTCCTGGTCCAAGTATAGGTTTCACATAAGCACAATAAAGTGTTCTGGGATTCCCATTCTTCTCAGAGTTAGCCAGTTTGTTGTGATCCACACAGTCAAATGCCTTTGCATAATCAGTGCAACATGGATAGACATGAAGTTACAGAAAATCCCCCTGTATCAAAATACAGTGATCTGGTCTACCCAGGACAAGCACAGTGGCATCTATTTTCTGAACATGAATATAGGCCAGAGGGAGCCCAGCTGTCTATCTGCGATATAAGGAGGAGGTCTGAGGTCCCTCCTAGTCAGCTTGGCCAGTACCTCATGCTGGTCTGGCAGAAGGCATACCCCACTCTGCAACCACACCTTGCTGTCCCGATACTCTCCTAGAACTTGCGGACAATAGATTACACCAGCTCGGCTACCCAGGGCCCTGTTTATGGTTTTCTCTGCCACACTATCTGTTAGGCCATGGCTCATTCTCAGGCTATGGGAGAAAAACAAGCTCTGGTTTACGTGAAAAGCAGTGTGTAAAAGGACTCTAGGGCCACTGGGTCTGGTTTGAATCTGGCCTGTGCCATTTATTTTCTCTGGTACTTTAAAAAAAAGTTATTTAACCTCCTTTCTTCAATTGCCTCTTCTGAAAAACAGGGGTAATCAACTGTCCTTACCTCGAAGGACTGATGTGAGGATGCAGTGGGCTGACCCCCTGTCACACTATACTTACTCCATGAGTGTTAGTTACTCCTGAAACCAGTGAGAAGTCTCCATGCTGGGTCCTATTCATGGCAGAAAAGTGATTACATTGAATCCTAATAAACAATCTGCATTCTTTTCTTCTCTATAAGCTGATCAAATCCAATCCATTGCTGCTTAGTTGAAGCTAACTAGGACAGAGAACTTTCCCCACAGGGTTTCCAGGCTGAAAATAGTCACAGAAGCAGATTACCACATCTCTCTTAAAAGCAGAGCCTAGTGGGATCCAGATTCCCAAACTCTAGGTTAGCAGGGGAACACTTTAACCACTGTACCACAAGCCCTCCTTCATAACTTCACGGACAGCTGTAAAGTAGGCTAAAAGGCACAATAAAGGATAAGTACCGATTTCATCCACAGTAGTAATAAGTATTTCATTCCCTAAGTCCGTGGCCCAGATGGAAGTGACACTGACTTTAAGCTTCTCCCAAGTACACAGTTGTTTAGCATTGTACACATCATAGACAAAGAGTCCTCTGGCTCCTCCAGCAAACATATAGTCTTGGGAAATAGCTAGACAGTTGGGTATTGTGCTGAGCTGGGAAAATAGAAACAAACATTCTTTTCAGTTGTCACTGTCTTCAAATAAAATGAGTAATTTTTCAAAGAATGAAGTTCTTTTCCTAGATATAATACAATGTCCAAAGCAGCATGCATCTAAACCTCTGGCCCATACATTAAGAAATTTATCACATATTATGTTTAGAGCATAACTGGGGATTCGTTGATCGAGGTTGACTTTGGCTGGAGTAATCTGACTCTGCTCCATGTTCTCCTCCCAGGACCGGCAGGTTAGCCTGGGAATGTTTACCCCACAGATGGCAGAAACACAAGAAAGCGTGCCAGATTCTGTGTGCAAGCCCATTTGAAGCCTCTGCTGGTGCCATGTCTGCTAACTTACACTAGTCTAAACAAGTCACATGGCCAAGTCCAGGGCCAAGGGATGGAGAAACGTACCCTCCTACAATGAAAAGAAGCTACAGTTAGCTGGCAGAGAATGTAGATGTGTAATCCTTTTACTTAGGAGAGAACAAAAGGTTGGAACAATAATCTGATGTTCCACAGAATTTAAACTGGATTTTATTTTGATTAAGAGAGATACTAAAATGTTGCATTAAGTTGTGGAGCAGTTCGTGCCTGTTGTAAAGATATAAAATCTGTCTTCAGGGACTACAAATTTTACTATGAGAATATTTAAACTGTGAGTTCTTATAGTGAAAATCTTAAAATGCCTTTTTAACAAGAATGTACTCTGGAAGAAAGATTTGATGACCTAATGAGTATGGAGCTGTGCTGCCAACTCAAAGTTAAATGGTTCAAATCCACCAATTGCTTCTCAGGAAAGATGGACTATCTCTTCCCATCTGATTGATAGCCTCTGGAAACATGCTAGATAGTCTAGTATGAGTGGGGTTTGACTCTAACACAATTGAGTTTGACGGCGGTTTTCTCTCTAGCTGTCTGGATGACTACAACAGCAGTCTTTCCATTTTCAGAGCCTCTGTCATCACCCAGTGTGTCACCATTTAATACCTGAACATAGCTTTCTCACTCCAAATCTGTATTCTCAGGAATCTGTGAGTTTTCTTTTTT